TTCCTTTGCCTTCACTACGCAAAATTACATGGATGAGTCTAACTTCGTGCTTTTCAACTAATCAATCTCATTATGTAGGTTGAAGATCTTACTCGTAAAGCTCAACTTCAAGATATTGAGATGGAACGAACTACCCAACAGTTGAAGGAGGCTCTCACAGTAGCAGGGGAAGAAACTACAAAATGTAAAGCAGCGAAGGAAGTAATTAAGTCGCTCACAGCCCAAGTAGGTTTCATGCTCATGTTTATTGTGTTTTTGCATAAGGAAGGATGTGTAGTGTTTTAAACTCATCTGCCTTATTTATAGTTTATAACCAATAATATGGCAATTCTATTAGGACGTGCTAAAATCTAAGTTTTATCAGTGATGCGTCTTATCCAAAAAATCTAGGACAAGGTGCAAACAGAAGTCAAAATTATTATGTAGTTAAGAAAACTGCAACTTTATCCCTTTTCAGAAGCGCAGTGCAGTCCCTATCATGTGTAGGACGTTTCATATTACCCTTTACTTCACTAAGCCTTTTGAGTTCCAGGATAGTATGACATTCTTTTTGACAATGCTATAGCCACTTAACCATGTAGCTGAAATATCATTGTCTCAACAATCTGAATTAATGCCTTGTTTATTTATGTTAGTTAAAGGAAATGGCTGAAAGGTTACCGATTGGAACAGCAAGAAACATTGATACTCGTCCATTAGACTCTCCCAGTCCCACTCATGAAGTTTCTACTGCAGCCATTGAGAAAACAAGCAGTCCATTGACTTTCCATGAACCATATTCAGTTGTATCAAACAGCTTGACGATTTCTGACTTGCCAAAGTCCTACAATAACCACACTTCAAATCACACTGAAGTGACACATTCAGAAGCAACAGCTAGGCATAAGAACAGGGGAACAAAAACTGAAGCAACACATGGGGTTGAATGGGTTGAGCAAGATGAGCCTGGTGTATATATTACCCTTGTTTCCTTGCCTGGAGGAGTCAAAGATCTCAAGCGTGTCCGCTTCAGGTATGTCTCCTTTTGTGATTATGTCGTGCAGCCACTTTTTAACGATAGATTCTCCTAAATCTGTTCTGAAATAAATTTGTGTCT